AGGTTCTCAGACATCCTTGATCTAATCATTATGTCCCACAGAAGGGGTTGGAGGGATGGGCCAGTGTACATGCATTCGTTTATGCTTGCAGCTAGAGGATGAGGTTTAGCACTGGCATCAAACACCATTCTGACTTTCGTTGTGACAGCTTCTGTTCGAACGACAGCCTTATGTGGCAAATAGAATACTCGTTTCCCCGTTGGTTTGCTTGGGATTCTTTCGACTATCCCTTCTTCTAGCTGTTCCTCAATTATGTGTGTGTACTCAGCCTTTAAGTGTCATTGCCACTAAGGACCAGGCAGGGTCCGGGGATCGAGGTCGGCCGATTACCTCCAAATTTTCAGCATTTTTTCTCTATCAGATAAGGTTACGATCGGTGGTATTTTTAATAAAATAAAATTAATTTCTTAGAATTTTGACCACCCCCCTAGTTTTTGGTGCTATTTTGCCCACGTGAGACGGAAAATTTGGGTAAACTTCCACGACACATTTTACTTACTTGGCATTAGCCTTATTCATTTATACGAACTGTACATACTTTCCAGCCTATAACCAGCTCATGTCTCCAGTATAAACGAATTTGGTTAAAAATAACTTACTTTGGAGCGGTTCCAAATATCATCACTTCGTGGCTATCGCAAGTAAGAAGAATTTTGGCAATTTTCCAATCTGGTTTTTTCTAAAGTGCGGCAGTTTATATCCAGATCAAAACTATTTTTTATTAGCCTGTCATAAAGTCTTTACAAATACGCAAACTCTTATTTGGCAAGTTAAAATCTCGTCGCGTGAGCTTTCTCACAACTTTAACCTAATTTCCTAATTTGCATAATTGTCGTTTTTGCCGGAAATATTTCACGCTTGATTAATTTGCGACATATTCCTGGTGTTTGTGACTAAGAGCAACCCATTACTTTTTCAGATAGGTGGCCTGCATATTATACTATACTTCACTGTCAAACTCTTTGAAATATTGAGCGGTTCTGTTATTTGGTAGAAGTACACTTCAGGGAAAGATAATTTTCCATCCCTTATCTGATTATCTGCAGACAGCTGTCCTGTTCAGCTGATTTTGCTGTTTTCAATATGGATCCATTCATCGTGGGCATTAGCAATATCTGCGAACTTGTAAAAAACAAGAAGCTTGACTCACTCAAACTGGCAGCTCTGAAAGAAATCTGCAATCAGCTTCACCTGACGACAAGCGGACCACTGTCAAGAAAAAAACCTTTCTTTGAGGCCATTCAAAAATTCTCTGAGAGTTCCACGTGTTTTCAAAAATAACGTTACATGGTTTTAGTAGGGAGGATCTCTATGCTTCTACCCCAATCTTCTCCATTGGGGCCTTTTAGATAGGTACAGGGAGACCCTTCGATAACAGGGTTTATAAATACTTGTAAATTAAAAAATCGTGAGCAATATAAGACTGCAAACTGAATGAATGCTATGGTAAACACAGTAAAACAAAAAACTGCAAGGATTTTTACATACTGCTAAACACCAGCTGTCCGTCGCTATGCTTGAATGCTATCATGGATGAAACCTAGACAAAAGAGCAGTGCCGGAAGATTTCAGCAGCAATGCACACGGATTGATCAACTTTAGTAACGTTGTGTCAAATCTATTACGTTATAATGCATTAAGTTTCGACTCACTAATTTGCGCATCTGTTCGAATTGCATTTCCTCTGCCACGAATTGACTGTCATTTCGGCAGCCTGTTTGCCTTCAATCACACGTGGAGAAAACATTAACTCTGTTAGTCTCCAAAACTATTCACTTATACCTGCCAACTCTCACGCCTTAGGGGTGAGTCTCACGCCGGCTCACGCCTGCGGGCCAATTTCTCACGCCTGATTGAAAAATGTGAGTTGTTGCCGTCCGGCTTGACACAATTTCCAAAAATATGTTAACTCAGACCCATTTAAGGAACGAAAACCATGTGTAAAATGAATAAATGGCAATACCTTCCTCGTGATCTCTGATTTTTGAAGTGAAAAGCACTGGGAACGAGCTCGCCTTTGGCAGACTTCGGCAGTCTTCGGACGTCTTCGGAAGACTTCGGACGTCTTCGGAAGACTTCGGACTTCTTCGGGAATCTTCGGAAATGATCGTGTCGTCTTCAAAAATCCCAGCACTCCCAGGATAAAAATCTCACGCTTATATCTCAGAAAAAGTTGGCAGGTATATTCACTACTTTACAAAACACAATCTTGAGCCTGTCTGGCATATTAATTTGCATGTCCATGTTTAGTGAAATGACAGAATTGTTATGTTCGCCCCAAATTTGTGGACTGTCAACGTCTGCAAGATCGAAACAACAATTGGTTTCAAAAACAAGAACCTCATAAAAATTAATAATTAATTACGTGCAGGGTTATCATCGCGTGTATATAATATCAACAGACAGGTGAAGTTTTCCCGGGGAAATTCGACAACATGCAAATTAGTTAAATTTGAAGAAAGCTTTCGGGAGGGGATTTTGACCTACCAAATGACAAAATAGGCCGATGAACTATGGTCACTTATCTGAAAAAGTAATGTTTTTCTCTTAGTGATAGTAAAGAAGCCAATAAACGCCTGCAACAAGTCGCAAATCAAGCGTGAAATTTTTCCCGGAAATTAGGAACTATGCAAATTAGGAAATTAGTTTAAAGTTGTGAGAAAGCTCACACGACGAGATTTTAACTTGCCAAATAAGAGTTTGCGTATTTGTAAAGACTTTAAGACAGACTAATAAAAAATAGTTTTGATCTGGATATAAACTGCTGCACTTTAGAGAAAACCAGATTGGAAAATTGCCAAAATTCTTCTTACTTGCGATAGCCACGAAGTGATGATATTTGGAACCGCTCCAAAGTAAGTTATTTTTAACCAAATTCGTTTATATTGGAAACATGAGCTGGTTATAGGCTGGAAAGTATGTACAGTTCGTATAAATGAATAAGGCTAATGCCAAGTACATAAAATGCGTCGTGGAAGTTTACCCAAGTTTTCCGTCTCACGTGGGCAAAATAGCACCAAAAACTAGGGGGGGTGGTCAAAATTCTAAGAAATTAATTTTATTTTACTAAAAATACCACCGATCGTAATCTTATGTGATAGAGAAAAAATGCTGAAAATTTGGAGGTAATCGGCCGACCTCGATCCGCGGACCCTGCCTGGTCCTTAGTGACAGTGACACTTAACTGTTCCTTTTGTCTTTGTTTCATATTCATGTTCTGTAAGCGTCTCCGGCTTTGTTCTTCATTGGTTCCAGCTAGTTCTGCTCCCGGTATCCAAGGAATGTTTACCTCGTACCTTCCGTCGTTCTTCCTCACTATGTTCTCTTTGAACTCCGTGTAGACATCAAGCTCGTCATCCTCACCTCTGTCTCTGACCCCCAAAACGTCCAGGTCGTATAGCCGCTCATAGTCCCTTGTATCTCTGCTGAAGAAGCTCTGGCTATCTGAGTTGTTATCTGTTTCGCCCCATGTAAGGTAATCCGGAATCCGGAATCCAGGTAATTTTGGTCTGTGGAATCCGGAATCCACGGCTTTGGAATCCGGAATCCAGCTAATGGAATCCGGAATCCAAGCATTGTAATCCAGAATCCAGGTTGCTGGAATCCACTCTGTTGTGATGGTTCCAGGGCCTCTTCTTTTCCTTTAGCGATTGTTGCGTGAAAATCTCATGTCGCAAGGACGCGCAACAGGCATGTTCACGCGTGTTTCACTCGCAGGAACATCCCTTGTCATTGTGACATATCGGGTATCAATTTGAAACAATGGTCACATTATAATGACGTGACAGAATCCGAGGGAGTGATTCATATTACTGTATATTATCGCTCTTTATAAGACACCCTTTCGACCTTTTTCCCCGTTGCGCTTTTGGAGTCGGAGGTTTAGATTCTTTCCTGTTTGGGCGCAATTGGAACTAATTTTTGGATTTCAGGTAACGTCAAAAGAATAATAATATAAAGTATCCTTATTCTTGGCCGCAGTATCAGTAGTCGCGGTGGTTGCAGTTACTGGCTTCTTTCAGGCACATGTCATCAGTGTCACTCAAAGAATGACATGCTGCACGTGGTGTCGACGTGGTGTCTTTCATTCAGTCCAGATTCAATCAGTCGAAATCAGACATCTCGAGAGATCACTTTGAACTTTTTTCTCAATCGATCGTTAACAATCTTTGTCAGCATGGGGAAGCACAAGAAAAAGCATGAGTCGGAAAGGTACGTACGTCTATAAATTCGGTGTTTGTGACTTTGTGATGGAAATGTTTTGGCGGCGTGGTTTTGAATAGATCAGAATGTGTGAAACAGTAATCTAAAACTTCGAGCAGCTATATCTGTCTGTTTCTATCATGTTCAGAATTATGAGCTAACTATCTTGCAAATTTATGTACAGGAGTCCTCGAAAGAAAGAGAGAAAAGCGGAGAAAGAAAAGAAAAGTTCAAGGTCTGTGGAGTTGTCGTTGTTTGTTATATTCGTGTTTTCTGCTCAAAAAGCGGTGGTTGTGTGAACACTTACTGAAGCGTTTCTGTGATCAAAATTATATTCGAAGGTGACAGCGTTTCCATACCATTTACAGACATGCTAATTAAATAGAGCATTTGATCAATGAAACGAACATTTCAAAGTGAATCCAAAGTAAATTATCGAATTTACTTCCCCCTGGAGCTCCGGAAATTGCTTGAAAAGGTCTTCTTCGCCCTTGTACTTTGTGCATGAGAGAAGATAAAGTATGCACAAGACTGTTCCTATTGGTTTGGGCCACTGACTGCGATCCCAAGCAAAAGAGCTTTATGAATTCCATGCTAGCAGACAGGGCGAAGTACCCCTACCAAGTCCCTATTCCTGACTGCCCACACAACATCAAGTCAGTACGTTCTGCAGAGTTTTGGCATTGGATGACATTGATGGATACCTAGTGAATGTAGGGCTGCTTTTGGTGCTACGTAGAGAATACGAAGACATCAAGAAATCAGTTTCATTGAAAGCAGTTCGAAACAAAGATCGG